AAATCCGCGCGATCGAAGTCGCGGGCGATAGCTTGTATTATATATAGTAAGGGTAAGATTTCGGACATCGTAAGATCATTACGTCATCTAGGTATCATGTTTTTGTGACCGTATAGTTATCTTTATAACAAAGCTTCAAATGTTGTTGTTTTTTTTTATTTAATAATTTAATTTTTCTGTTATTGTTATTGTGTAGATGCTCGAATTATATTATATATTAATTATATGGGATTATTCCATACAAATTGTTGTATGGATAAACCAAGTACGTATAACTAAATTATTGTTTTAGCGAAATTTTATTTCTAATACAAATGTTATTAAATTTTATACAAATATGTATGTATGAAATCATAAATGTATTGCGTCATACAAATCGCTTCGTATAAAGTATAGGAGTAGTCAAATTTATTTTTGTATTGCTTAATGTTTTCTCCGATGTTTTATTACAAATGTATGACTTTGTATGAAATTTGTATGGCACAATTTCAAATTATCAGTTAGATAATCTGTTACTTTTACTGTTTACTGCATTATTTTTGAACTTTTACATATATGTATGAGTTTGTATGACTCATACAAAATGATTTTTATTATAGAAATCGTTTTATAATCGAGTGATATCCCTCCGGCCTATTGGTTGGAGTAACGGTGCCTTAATTCTTAGTTTTAAGTTCAAATTTACAAAAGTATTTTAAGATTTTTAATATATTTTTGAGACAATTTTAAAATTGCCTAAATCTGGCAATTAGCGAAATAGTCAGACAATTTCTGATCCGGTTAAAGGTAAGTTAGTTTTATCAGAAGACATTTCCACCGGGTCAGATAAATCTGTCAGACTACAAGCCTAGTGGATGTAAACACATTTTTTTCTCCGTGTGAATGCTATTTAAATATTGTATGAGATTAAAAAAAAAGAAATATTCAAGTACAAAAGAGAATATGGAAATATATTTGAAAGTAAACGGTGTTTTATTTCCTTCCTTAAAACTGACAAGCGATTTTATTAAAAAAACATACAAACGAATTGAGTACCTCATTTTTTAAGACGATTAAAAATAGCTATCGCTTGCTACTTTTTAGGCGCGGAATTAAAATAAATTCCAGCTTGATACCTTCACACGTTTTTGAGAAAAAGGCTCTTGACAGACGGACAACAAAGTAATCATATAAGGGTTCCGTTTTCCTATGCGGTACGGAACCCTAAAAACAAAGTATTTAGCTTCTTCTAGACATGCAACCATTCTGGAGATAACTTCTAACATCCATCCAAAGTTTTGCATTTATGTCAGTCTTTCCCAAAGTGTACGATAACGCTCCCTTGTGGGCGCTGCAGGTCTCAAGTTGCGGGTTATAGTAAAAGTTTCCTTTACAATTCTCCGTTAATATACATATATAGGTCACTATAATTAATTAATTTAATTTGAAGTTATAGTGGTTTTTAAATATGTGAAAATATGGGGGCGCTAAAATATTTATTCTCAAAGTAGGCAGTAGACAAAATAAGTTTGGGAACCACTGCTTTATATTAATAAGATAACTTGATAAGTTAGCATTTATATTTTTAGACAGTTTTTGTTCTAATATTTTGTACAGTGCCGGATAACCCAGAGTTTTCACTATAAGTAAATTCGCTAAAAAAATTACTTATAAATAAAACTGATTCTATTAAAAAATTCGATACATAATAGTTGTTAAAATGTAACTTTTATTTCTTTGTAATCTATATACTAGCTGTTGCCCGTGACACCGACTGCACGTAATTTAAAAACTTTATTAGTAGTGTAGTGTTCTTCCAGGCTAGGTTCTACATCTATGACAAATCTCATCGAGATATATACAGCCGTTCTGGAGATATCTTGTAACAAACATCCATCTAAACATTCGCATTTATATTAGTAATATTAAAATGTAACAAAATATTATCAGTCCAAAACTAAATTTTATCTCAAGTGCTTGTGTTCATTTAATTATTTTCTATTTAACTACGCCATTGTTATAAATAATTAAAATCTATATATATAAAAGAAAGTCGTGTTAGTTACACTATTTATAACTCAAGAACGGCTTTACCGATATGACTGAAAATTGGTGAGGAGGTAGCTTATAGCCAGGAGACGGACATAGGATATTATTTATTCATTTTTTTTCAAATTTATGCCTTGAAGAGCTGCTGATTATTTAACTTACTAATATAAATGCGAATGTTTAGATGGATGTGATGTGGATGGATGGGCTTCACTTATTAAGTTTTTTTATATATCCACTCGGGCGACAGTTAGTTAGTAATATTAAAATGTAACAAAATATCAGTCAAAAACTAAACTTTATCTCTAGTGTTAGCGTTCATTTAGTTATTTTCTATTTAACTACGCCATTGTTACAAATAATTAAAATAATACATAAAAATATTATAGCACGTGTTTAAATATTTAATGTAAGTAATGAAGATGTACTATTCAAAAGAAATAACAAGTTATTTTTAGGTTATTTTCAGATAAAATGTAGTAAAACTATGAAATAAGAATAGCTTATATAACCTCGTTATGTGAGAAATAGTGCTTATTCGGAAATATTTAAGAGTCGACGAATTTAGTGATAAAATGTGAAGTTTGTCTATGGTGAAAATATTTCGTCTTTGGCTTTGGAACCAAGCATACGAATCCAAGGAATAAATAATGTGATGTTTGTTTTATATCAAAAGGTGGCAAACGAGCGACCGGCCACCTGAAATCGCTGAAATAGCGAAGTGACCGTTGCTCGTAGACATACGCAATTGCATTTGCGTTGCCTACCTTTAATCGACGAAGGAGAGGATGAACAGAAAGAAAATATCTTCCCTTTCCATGCGTCCTCTCATCCGGAAAGTCCACTTCCACTTCCCATCCTTTTCTTATAAGAAACAGGGTGAGAAGGGAAAGAGGGCTAAATTAGGCCTCCGGGACGCACACTCATCTGCACGCGGAATTGTTTCGACTTGACACCTGTCTTCTGTGTGGTCGTGGTATTTCACCGGGCGTGCCGGGACAATACGTGCGAAGATGTTAAAACGGGCTCTACCACTGTTAAAATCTTGCGTTATCTTACTTCTTACTTATATTATAAATACGAATGTTTGGATGTTAATCATATATCCATAGGTGCATGGATCTTGCTGTTTGGCATAAATGTAGAACATAGTCACAACACATAGACTACTAATTAAGTTGTTTACAATTCCGTGCACACGGAGTTTTTATAAATAATTGCCGTGCATTATGACTTCATATTTATAGCTGCTTTCAAGCGTAGATAAAATGAATGTCTGTGGCCATAAAACTGCTACGGAGTTTGGCGACTGTAATTAAATATTGTCTTCAGTTTCTTTATAAATAAACTAGCCGTCGCCCGCGACTCCGTCTGCGTGGATATATAAAAAACTTAATTAGTATAGCCCACCCATCCATCTAAGCATTCGCATTTATACAGTAAGTTAAATAAAAAGCTGCTCTTCAAGGCATAAATTCGAAAAAAAACTGTATCCATATCCAATTTCACAGCCATATCAGTAAAGCCGTTGAGTTATAAATAGTATAACTAACACGACTTTCTTTTATATATATATAGATAAAAGAAAATTGTTTCTACAGTTCTCTATATAAAACTAATACGCGCATATGAAAACAAAACATATCCACTATGCTACCGCCAACAAACAAAGTGCGCGCAAACTCGGATAACGCTATTCACACCGTATTAATATTTTGTAAAATCTTGATTAAATATTTAAAATTATATATGCTAATAATACTCTCCTGTATGTAAGCTACTTTCCATTAGAAAGTATTATAAAAATCGGTCTAGCCTTTTTGGCTATTACCTGAAACAAACAAAAACTTGCCGATAGACAAAACACACAATTAACATACAATTTTTAGCCGAATTAAAAAAGAAGGAGGTTATCAATTCGTCTGTATGTTTTTTTTATGTGTGTTACTTCGTAACTCCATCCCTGGTGGTCCGATTTTGATTTTTTTTATATTACATACATCGTTATCTCTTTGTAGGTTTCCGTAGTGGGACAGACGGTCACACAGTCACCGCCATCTCGGTTTATTCTGTGTCGAAGCTTGGTTTTATAGCCACGACTCCTTGTTCCTAGTAGGTATAATAGTGGTAGAGCCCGCTTTAACATCTTCGCACGAATCGGCCTGGCTCGCCCGGTGAAATACCACGACCATACAGAAGACAGGCGTGAAGTGGAAGCAATTCCGCGTTTCGTCTGATGAGTGTGCGTCCCGGAGGCCAAAATTAGTCCTCTTTCCCTTCCCACCCTTTTTCTTATAAGGAAAGGATGGGAAGTGGAAGTGGACTTTCCGGATGAGAGGATGCATGGAAAGGGAAAATATTTTATTTCTGTGCATTCTCTTCACCGTCGATTAAAGGTAGGCAACGCATATGCAATTGCGTATGTCTATGGGCAACGGTCACTTCGCTATTTCAGCGATTTCAGGTGGCCGCTCGCTCGTTTGCCACCTTGTGATATAAAAAAAAGGACCTATTCCAGAGAGACCTGAAGGATAGTGACCAATCCAAGATCACTTGCGGTGCTTTACTAACCGATTCTTGATAATGTTCTGATATTACATTCAGAAGAAGCGAGCATACCATTTCCTTAAAGGCCGGCAACGCATCTACAGTTCCTCTGGTGTTGCAGATGTCCATGGGTGTCGATGATCACCTCGGTGTTCCCGCCGCTCGTTTGCCCCCTTCTCTTATAAAAAAAAGACACACATAGAATGTGTTGCTTAACAAAAAACCAAGGAAATATTAAGTAAATTGTTACATTGTAGCGTTTTATCTGAAAATCAATGACAAAAAACTAATTTAACCAAATCGTCAATGTAATAAAGATAACGTATGTTTTTTACTGAACTTGTTTTTTGTTAATTTCCCCTTTTTTTAGCGATTTAATTAACCTTTACGTAATACTCATACAAATTACTCATTTAAACAATGTTAAACTTTCAGTGTGGTTATGTCAGTTGGGAGTGAAGACTGATTAAAAATTGTCGGCAGCAATATGTTTAATTCACCACTTTTCAATCAGGTAAGAATTACTTTTTTATTCTATTCTTCTTCTAGTGCCTCTTCAGTCTTGAAGGTTGGCCGCTAACTTGGAATATCTGTTCCTGTCAAATGCAAGACGAAACAGTTCCTCCGAATAAATTCAACTTAATTAGTAGCCTTCGTGTTCTTCTATGCTACGTCCATGCTATGTTACGTCTATACCAAATTTGAACAAGTTCCTTGCAACCGTTCTGGAGATACATTCTAAGAAACATCCATCCATCTATCCAAACATTCGTATTTATAATATTAGTGACATTACTTATTTAAGTTATTTGATAAATGTCGATATCATTTCAATGAGAAAAAATAAAATATTGCCAAGAACAAATATATTTTTTTTAATTTAAAGTTTCTTTCTTGAGGCACAAGTACAATATATAGTCTCCTGGCTCTTGAACGAGCGATATGATGATCTAATCTCCGTTCACTCCCTAATATTACGTAGCCACGACGATCGTAGACGATTTTTTCTTTGTATTCTATTAACATAGCTTATTCTGCACGCATTGCATCCGTTGCGTTGCGTACCTTTAATCGACGGAGAAGCACAGAAAGAGAATATTTTCCCCTTTACTATGCGTCCTCCTTCCATCCTCCATTATATCCACTTCCAAGAACAAGAAAGACAACTAAAATTAGGTCTCCAGAACGCGCACTAATCAGGTAAAGCGCGGAATTACTTTCACTTGACGTAAGTCTGTGTGGTCTTGAAGCACATTTGTTCATCGTTGTTGCTGGCGTCTACCACTGTTAACTAGACTAATTAATTCCAGTGCTTCTCAACATTGGGTGTGTCGCTAGCTATGTTGTCGGGAAGTCAAGTTATGACCTTCTGCTATGTGCTTCTGCCGCAACTGAATGCCGTCTCTCATCTGAATGATGAACAAGCTTCCTGGATAGGTGAGTGACACATTCGAGTTAAAGATACGAAGTCATACGTAATCTGTTCTGTTTTAAATCCATTATAACCGGTACCCAAAAACTACTGAACCTACATAGACGGGTGTGGTGTCCTTTGATTCGATTCGATACATTAGGACATTGTCTGATAATTTCTTTTGTTAATTAGCAAATTGTTGCCAATTGTTTCAGCTTCAATCAACGGTATAGCATTACCTATCGGTCTCCTGGTTACTACACCGATTATGAATAAATACGGCCGCAAACCAACAAACATCATCCGAGCTATACTCATCACAGCCGCCTGGAGTTGCCTCTCTCTCACTACAGATTACTACGTTATTCTCTTCTGCAGATTCCTGCAAGGCATCTGTCTCGGTTGTGCAGCTATCCTTGTTCCTGTCTTGCTTGGAGAATATGCCAGTCCAAAATACAGAGGCGCCTGTCTAACAACAATAGCAATTTCTATATCCCTTGGAGTTTTATCTATACATACTTTATCTTTTCTTACTTGGCATTATATATCTATTATATGTGCTGCAATTAGTCTCTTAAATATAATAATTGCTATATTTTCTCCTGAGTCTCCAAGTTTTTTGGCTAAGAAAGGTAAATACGATGAATGTAGACGTATATTCAATTGGTTGAGATATCCAAATGAAGTGCAAGAATTGGAGAAAATGATACAAATTCAAATGTCAGCTGTCAATCGGAAGAAAAAAGAGAGTTTTAAGAAGATAGTAAGAGATTTTTTCAACATGTGGAAGAAGAAAGAAGTTTACAAACCTTTATTTTTAATGTTCCATTTACATATTATTAATGAATGGTGCGCGGCGAATGTACATGACGCATTTACGACGTACATTTATAAAAGAGTGATAGGTGACATAGAAATTTCTCTTCTAATATCAACCGACATACTTCGAGCTTTGTCGGCTGTTTGCGCTTTTATTATTGTAAGAAAATTAAAAAGAAGATTAATGTTATTATTAACTGTATTATTAAATATTATATCATTATTAATATTATCTATTTATGTTTATTTAAAAATGAATTCACTTTTATCTTTCGATCATCCATACATCGGTGTATTTTTAATACATTTTTATGTATTTTCTTTTTCCTCAGGTTGTTTAGTTTTACCAAACATACTTTCCGGTGAGATATTCCCTTTGCAATATAGAGAGATATGTCAAATTATTGCGCAATTATTTTTCTCTATTAATTTGATAATTAATATGAAAACGGCTTTACAAATGTTTAATGTACTTGAACTGTACGGTTCCTTGTTAGTTTATGCAGGTTTAGTTGCATATGGATTGTTAATATCTTTAATAATACTACCAGAAACAAAGGATAAAACATTACAAGATATTGAAGAAGAGTTTAAAGGTTTAAGAGATAGGGAATTGAGTAATTTGTTAATTGACAAACATAATAATAATAAAATTATAAGGTAATGTGTTTTTTTATTTATGATACCTTTACAGTTAATAAATCTTACTAATATTATAAACTAGCTGTCGCCCGCGACATCGTCCTCGTGGATATATAAAAGAAAACATTCGCATTTAAAATATTAGTAAGTTAAATAAAAAGGAGCTAAAAATCTACATTTCCTTCCCAAACTTTATAAGAAAAGGGTGGGAAGAGAAAAAGGACTATTTTTGATTTACTTATTTTGTTAGAGCAATAACTTTACTGATATATTTAATTGTTTTTATAATATTTCCACTATTATTATTATTAAAATAATAATAAACAGTTGTCGGGTGGGAGCTGCAAGCGTGCATAATGTATCTATCGGCCGGTGTCCACTGCAGGCGATGCTAACATCGTTTATTTTAAGAACAATTGTATCGACTTTGTCGCTCCCCTAAAAATGTACTTTGATTATTTTTATTCCCGGAGCCGGTGTGGCACAATGGAGCGTTTCAAATTTCTACAGAAAATTTGCGTTTTTGCATAAAACGGTAGCGGGGAGGGCACGCGACTGCGACACATTAAAACATACGATTCCCATGTGTTTATTAGTTTTGTAGGACTGTCTACTTCGAAAGAAAAACGTCCTTGTCCATGGAACGACCTACGGCCTTCTTTCTTTTATATATGACGTCTAGTTTCTTTCACTTTTATATACGTTATGTCTTTACTTATTTCTTTTTTTTATTTTTGCATCTATTATTGTGGTTATAAGATCTTTACTCTCTACTCCTCTATTGTTCTTTCTTTGAAGGCCTGTTAGAAAAAAATTAGCCGTTTTTAGATACGTAGAGACAAACACCTTCCCAATCTGTGCATTTATAATACTAGCTGTCTCGACGACTCCGGCCGCGGTGTACAAAAGTAAGCCTATGTGTTCTTTCAGACTATGTTCTACATCTATGCCAAATTTCAGCGAGATTCATTATAGCACACTTCTAACAAACATCCATCCAAACATTCGCATTTATAATATTAGTTAATAGGTTATGATGCGGTCAATGATAATCATTGCGATGTAGATTCCAGTTTATCTAACAAATCATGGTCACCGTCGCTTGCATTGTAACAAGAGCGCATTGTTGCAGTTTCGATTAATAAAAGCGATACAGTTTCCTAGTTTTTTCCACAAAATTTAAATGGATTCCCCTCCGGTCATTATAATACGCCATTTGCATGAGACCGAACGAATATTTTATTACGTATGGGGAATCGAAAATGTAAATCGTTACGAAATGCAATTATTTATGCGTTTTTTTTTTTCAAACATTTATATTTCGTTTTTATTATTCTATGGATGATATTAATTTTGATTTTTCTCTGATTCATGAGGCAATTATTTTATCGATAATAAAATAAATACTAGATTTTGTACGCGACATCTTTTGCTTAGTATTAAAATAACTTATATTAACAAACATACCATTGGGTTTTTGAGTTAATTCGTTACTAGCTGTCGACCGCGACTCCGTCCGCGCGGTATTAAAAACGTAGCCTGTATGTCCTTTCTGACTATGTTCCATATGTATGCCAAATTTCATCAAGATCAGCTCAGACGTTCTGGAGATATCTTTAAACAAACATCCATCTAAACATTCGCTTTTATAATTATTATTCTTATAGATTTATTTATCATATTTTTAATATATAATAGTTCATTTTATACCCAAAAAATATATATACAAAACATATTATATTAAAAATAGAACACCACCGGCTGCGGAGTCCCATGACTCAAACAACCAGTGGTCAGGGCTGCAGAGACAGGAACCTTCTCACGATGCGCGCAGTTTCTACGATAACTGCCTTTTGTATCGGGCCCTTAATCCAACTGTTTAGCGAGAGCTTCTTGAGATGTTGGTCGAAGCTCTTCGCATTTATAATATTATTAAGATGATTAAGATATACAAAAATACAAATCTTTCCTCTTTATAATATTAAGTATAGGTAACATTAGGTACCATAAAATGTTGGTCTGAAAGTTGAAAAAAGAAGCAATTATTATAATTAAAATTTCATACTAAATCTACGCTAAGTATAGCCCTTATTATATAACGTCTCTGCTTGTAGAAATTGCATATTTATTTTTGACATTAACATAAAAATGAGACGTTGTTCAATCTGTATTTTAATCACAGATTATAAATATAACAAACTGTCAGACTATGAAAAGCAAATGCTAGAATGTTACGTATTGACATTTGATGGCAAATTATTTTAAATTAACTTCGCACAATCATAATTTGGTGCATAGCTGTCATAGATGTTTTGTTGAGCCGGGCAAAGGGTTAGAAATGACCCAGGCAGCGCCAATACCTTCGGTGCCCGCCCAGGTCTATGGTGACCTGGTCAAGGAGCCTGTCAGTAGCGTGGTGGCAGAAGTATTGGAGCCTTGTCAGGTGATGACTTCAAAAACAATGATATACAACTACAAATATAAAAGAAAACATAACTTAATGTTAACACTTTCAATGCTACTACGTTTTACACAAACTAATTTGCACTTATTAAATGAACTTGCAGGACGAGTCCGTGGCACTGAATGTGTTAACGAATAAGTCTTGGTCAAACGATTGGTTATTGGTTTAATAAGTTACTGCTGGTTTCTGAGAGCTAAATGTATGGATAAAACATATCTTCATCGGTGCCATTTTAAGAAAACAGAGATAGCATTATGATTTAAAAGAATTTTGGTCTTAGAAACCTCCGAGTAGTAAATCTTATGAATTTCTATTTCCACTGCTATCGACTCGACTTATCTCCTTCGTAAATTGTCGTATGAATCTGTTAAACAATTTTATTTACTTAAATACATAGATAATAAATGACAGGATTGTCATCCAATGTAGGTTGCTTTTACCCAAACACGTGTATACAAATACATATCCTTCTTTTCAACACAATGATCTATGTTTTTAGTACCTATTATTATTAATATTGTTATCTCTTTCATTCTATACGACAAATCCGAGATAACAATATATTTAGAAATGCAGCTATCAAAAACAAATTTAACATTATTTGGTAGAGTTCTGAGGAGGCGCCACCGTCGCTACTAGATGACTTGACCTCTGTGGAACACTTAATGATTACAAAGCGGCTGCGGGTAAAGAGCGTTTTGTTCCTGAGAGGCAAAAGGAATCGCTTTCATGTACGCACGCCTGACAGGAACCTTGTTTACACCGTGGAGGAGGAGAACAGGTCAGTAAATACAAGTATCTTGAGACACAAAATGTTTAACCGTTGATTTCTAAGACCAAAAACAGTGTCCATGGCTTTTATACGGAGATTTTGGTCTCACAAATTCAAAGATAATCAATTAATGTAGTGAACACGTAAGCATTTCAGTCTTTAGGAGCACATTTGCCAATCTCACTGCCACATCTAAATAAAGTAATTGGTCTTAAGAGCGACCTTTAGTGTACATTTATCTCGTTAAAGGTACGCGCCAATTGACTCCGGACGCACGGATATTAGTTTGCTTTGTATGGTTCTACATAGCGCAGCGTCCATCATCCACGCCACTAGCATCGAAAGACCGCATTTACCATAACTAACCAGTCAATCACGTGATGAACATCTGTCTTATTCCAGCTGGTGGGTTGGCTACTTCTGCTACGGTCTGCGTCCCCTCCAACTGCGCGTGTGCAACGGCGAAGGCGCTGAAGTGCTGCGCGTTCTCCGGCCTTACGCCTGCACGCCGCGCGTCCTGCCCTGCCAGCTGCAAAACCTTCAAGTCTTCAGTCCACCTGGTCATCTGATAGGCACCATCGAACAACAATGGGCAGCTGTCAGACCTGTCTATCTAATTAAAAACGAGAATGGCGAAGAGTTGTTTTGGATACGCGGTAATTTTAATGACAACTAATATATTGCATTGGGTTACATTTAACAATAATGTATTAAGCTTAAAAGTGGTAGTGGTAGTAGACCGGTAACAAAATCTTTTGCATGAATTGGTCGGCTCGTCCGTTGCAATACCACGACTTCACAGAAGACACGTTTCAAGTGGAATTCAATCCGCGTACAGTCTGATGAGTGTGCGTTCCAGAAGCCTAATTTTAGTCCTCTATCCCTTCCTACTCGCTTCTTATAAGAAAAAGGAATGAGAAATGGATTTGACGGAGGAGATGCATACGAAGAGGAAATATTCTTTTTCTGTATCTCCCTTCTTTCTTGGATTAAAAGGTAGAAAACGCATCTGCAATTGTAGATATGGTCATCATCATCAGCTCATTATACGTCCCCACTGAGGGGCTCAGAGCCTACATTAAGTTAGAGGTGAGTAGGTCATAGTCGTAGTTGACTCTACACATATCTCTGAATTTCTTCTCAGATTTGTGCAGCATCACGATATTTTCCTTCACCGTAAGAACGTCGGATAAATGTACATATTATATGTAAACCGGAAACCGAAAAAAACATCGGTACGTGGCGCGATTCAAACTCAAGGCCTGCAGATTGCAAGTCATGTGCCTGTCTCCTGAACCACCGACGCTCCATCTCTCCATCTATGGTCGCTTTGCTATAGCTTAGGATATAGTGGCAGCTTGCTCGTCTGACATCTTATGATATAATGTTTTTATTCAGGTCCGTTCATTACGCTAAGCCTGTTCCGTGATGTAGAGTTTGGAATTGCTCGCGCGGACGGTGTTCCTGTGGGCAGTACTTGCAAGCGCTGGCAAGGTCTCATGCACGCTATGTTCTTTGCACCAATCACTGACAGGTGAAGTTAATCTATTAATTTCTACTCATTTCGGTACATATTCATAATTGGTCGAAATCTTGGCATTGCATTCTTGTTAACACTTTCAGTGCTACTATGATTTTGGTGTTAGAATCTCAAGGCGAGTTAGCGGCTCTGGACGTTTAAGTTATAGCTCATATTGTGTTTTGTTTTGATGTTTTATAAATTGAATTAATGGTCTTATGGTTGACACAGACTCGAGCGGAAAGCAGTACAGATTTTATATCACAGATTAAACTAATTAGTATTTTGTTTAACACGTCTTTTCTTACCAAGAACAAGCGTAAAAAAATAAAGCATAAAACTCAATTTTTTCGCGATAAAATTTTGTTTTTTTTTCTCTGTCATTTTGCGCTTGTTCTTATTAAAAACGTAAAAAGTGAAATTAAACTTTTTTTATACGTAAAATGGTCGATATTATTTGCGATAAAAATCTGCTCTTCGCCCCAGTCTCTGTGACTAATAATGAGTTTTAAAACGTAGCATTATATACTGATTTCAGATTCAACGTGGAGTTTGATCGAAGCTTGTCCGTGGAAGAGAAAGCTCTGCTGTTGGCCGCGACTCTGCTCATAGATTACATGTACTATGATGTTTGATATAAATTATTGATTTATATTATTGCTATTACTATAAAGGATGTTTTATTTACCAACAATTGTCTGCATCTTCGTCTGCACATCAGCTACCTTCCCAAAGTCCCGTCAACATCGGAGTTTACACGGAACATACGCGGCTTTACAGACAGACAGAGAACAGACTGATAAAATTGTTATAAAATTAGTTTTTCGTTATCTTTTATGTATTGCATTACATTTAAACTAATCAGATTAATTTTATAATGTTGGTACATGCACATTTATATTTTACAACTATTAAATGAACAATTTTTTCTATATTTGCTATTCGGATACAGACTCTTAGTTTATTCATGTTTTATTTTTTCACACAAAAACGTCAATTTCCCCTTAAAAATTAATGTCCTGCACGCGTGTACCACCCCTATTTGCATTGTATTTAAAAACTTTTTTTTTCTCTCTCCGGCAGATGTCCGATGAGGTAAATGGTGCGAAATTTTGACAGAACGTATAATTTTGGCGCGCAACAATGACGTATAGATGTCGCATAGAGTAAAAAAAAAACTTAATATCTCCGTTCTTTATCGAACCCTTTTTCCGACGGATTGAATTCGATTATGTTTTCGCGTAAAAAACAACCATAAAAGGGTGCGGGATTTTTTTTAACCAGATTTCTGGAAAAACAACATCGGGGTGAAAGTTTATGTAGGTCACTGGCTGCGAAGCGAATTTAGTTTTTTTTTTAAGATATAAAGCCGTGGCGCGCGCATGTCGTGTGCCAGCAAGGGTTTAAAAATAGACAATAAAACTCTTTGGAAAATGATTCAGATTTTTTATTAATCTCGTAACGGATTTTTTTTTACAAAAAAGTTGCTTTTTTCGCTAAAATATATTTCATTGTAAATGAATAATAAGGTCGTAGGGCGATGTCAAGATTAAAAAAGAACGTAATTTTTTGATCGATTGTCGTTCTGTTGGCGCACACGTGTTTGTAATTTATCTTTTGTTTACTTTAAAAACCTTATATACTTCTTTACATCTTTACATCTACATCAGTATTTGCCCATTACTGGAGATAAGCCTTCCTCTATGCACCACTGCATGTGTTCCTCCGCGCACCGAACGCATTTCTACCATCAGCACGAGGTCATCGGTCCACCTGAAAAGGGCTACGCTTTTGGCCATTCAATGCCTTTATCCCAGAATTTCACATTAACATAACTTGTTTAGATATTCTGATAAAATCAAATAATACTATTTTGACGAGGAAGGAAGAAAGAAAAGAGAGGCAATCAAGTAACTTTTATACATGTGTAGGAAAAAAAATTATGTTTTTATTTTACAAATGTGTTAAATTTAAATTCATCGAACATCAAAATCGTTTAATAACAAGTATATCCATAAAATTATCAATAAATAAATCACGCAATTACGACCCCTAACTATACAATAGCAAAGAAACGCGACAAAAATACTCTTAATTAAAGATTATATCCGCGTCAACTGTCGGCTTTACACTAATCTATAAAAAAAATATATTCCTATAAAAATTCCCTGTTTTGTCAAAAAAAAAGTTTCGACACCCATTAAAAATCGCAACGAAGGGTCTTGTATTGTATTGAGCATCTGTCAAATGTATTAATGGGGGAAAATGGCTGAGGAATTGTTTGAAAAATGGGTTAAATGTTAAAAAAGCATGGCAACCCTGTGAACTGTCATGCGGGGGTTAAGCGCGCGTGACGTGTGTCAACACGCGTTTAAGTTAACCTCACTATCATTTGATACGATATTTTGTTACGGGTTAAAAGATTTTAAATATTTAGTTTAAATTCAAGGGAAACGTTTGAAAACGTATCGACCATTTTTAAATTAAAATACACTAAGATATTCCATAGATAAAAGCCAATAATTCGTTGCTGACTTAAGTCAGATCTTAAGATCTATTATAATATTATTTAACAGTGGTAGAGCCCGCTTTAACATCTTTCCACAAATTGTCCCGGGTCACCCGGTGAAATACCACGACCACACAGAATACAGGCGTGAAGTGGAAGCAATTCCGCGTTTCGTCTGATGAGTGTGCGTCCCGGAGGCCTAATTTAGTCCTCTTTCCCATCCCACCCTTTTTCTTAAGGAAAGGATGGAAAGTGGAAGTGGACTTTCCGGATGAGAGGATGCATGGAAAGAGAAAATATTTTCTTTCTGTGCATCCTCTCCTCCGTCGATTAAAGGTAACGCATAAGCAATTGAGTATGTCTATGGGGAACGGTCACTTCGCTATTTCAGCGATTTCAGGTGACCGCTCTCTTATTTGCCACCTTATAATATAAAAAAAATTAAAGGAAAGATGTTCACAACTATATTAGTAATACTGTTGTTAAAAAACAAATTAAAATGTGTCATTTTGTTTTGTTATTTGTTTACTGTTTGTTGTTCAATCTTAGGAAGCTCTCAGTAACACAGATCGGTACAATTCCGAAGAAATATGACGTCTAACTTTCAGTTACCTATACTATATTACGAGTAAATTGTAGAATTTCACGTAGACAATATACTATGAGTACAGTCGCGTACACATTGTTAAATACTTTATTTTCCTTGTATCTCACTAATATTATAAAGGCGAATTTTTAGATGGATGGATATTTGTTCGAAGGTATCTCCAGAACGGCTTAACGGATATCTATGAATTTTGGCTTGGATGTAGAACATACTCACACCACATCACATTCAGCCAAAACTTGTCCACTGCTGGACGTAGGCCTCCCCCATCGATTGCCACAATGCCCGGTCCTGTGCCGCCCGCATCCAGTGCACTCCCGCAACCTTGACCAGGTCCATCGCGCGGGAGGCCTACCTACGCTGCGTCGACCCGTACGCGTAACATATAGGCTACTAATTAAGTTTTTTTTTTAATTCAGCTCGGAGGGAGTAGCGAACTATATCCAGTTTAACATATTAAATCTGTGATAATTAAGGACCAATTAATCTCTGAGTTTGACAGATAGGTATAGACACGATATGACATACCAGTCTTGTTTATGGTCTCATTTAATTTTTCTTTTAATATTAATGACTCATACCAGCTATGTGAGTTCAAAACTACAATTATAAGATTGACATCACAAAAATTTAATACCTTCTAGTTCTATTGTCCTTTTTTCATGGTTACGAATATTTTGTACACTCTTACTTACCACAATGTCATTTAATTAATTCTATTTAAATTAATTACGATTACTTTGTGACAATGACGGATGTTAGAAGGAAAACAACAGAATTTATATTTGTATATTTAATTTATTGAATACGGTAGAAATGCTTTTTGTAATTAATGGAAAACAAACAACAGACGGAACTAGGAACATATACCGACCGCAAGCCACAGATTACATAAAATTTATAGGTTATTTTACCGCCATTTTTTTAATAACTGTCAAAGAAGAAAAAATATTCACAGACATAAAAAATAAACATGCTGAATAATTTGTTTTTAATCTTATATTAAATGAGGATTTTTTTAATATAAATTAATTTGCGGACGGTTTATTGATATTCGGTGAGCTAAAATAAAAAATGTTATGACAGTTTTGCATTTGGTTAAATCTAATAAAAATTTGTACGTTTTTATGAATCAGATTAAGTATTATCTGTAGTTATTTTTATTATACTTGATTACGATGGCTTGCGGCTAAAATTTGGCTCACTCCCAGAGCCATAATATAATTCTTTTTTTTTTTAATACAAATTACATTTTACCAAACGTGGACGTCGAATGTCGAATTATCAATTGTATAAATATGACAAAATATTTTCTCTAATATTATATTGAGGTAGTTTGGTTTTAAAGTCATCAACACTTTCTTAACATATTTTGTAACGCTCACGACGTCCATGTCTGAAAAATACGTAAAACAATTGGACTAGAAATAACACAGATATAGTAATTACCAATTATTAAATACAGTCGCACGTAAAATAATCCTTTCCTAAAACTAAATACAGCACAGACTAGAAATGACACAAATAATTATTTACACAGATAAATAATATTGGAATGTAACGATTTGCTTAAAAAGAAATTTTGGTGTTGCTATATTAAAATAATTTGTGGCTACAAAATTAAGCCCAATAGTAGTGTGATCTTATAAGCAATTTTGTCAATAAATTCTCTTTTAATTTATATATTTTTATTGACATGTCACTTTTAAAATCACACGCAAAATATTTTAAAAATATACATAAATAATGCAATGTGGTAGTTTCTTCTAGGAAATTAGGTGACATCGTTTTTAACAATACATGAGTTACTAACGATTCAACATTAAATTCTTAATATGTTCGTAAAAATTAGATGTAAAAACAAGATGTTTGAATTAACTTAGAGGTAACATTTTTTTTTAAATATATAAAAGATTTTTTAACAGGATATCTTCATTGTTAATTTTATATTTACTGTTTATTTATAATAAAAAGAACTTTTAGATTATTTTCTATTGTAAGACTAATAATAATAAAATGAAAATTATTTCCTCATTATCAAGTATCAGTGTTCAATAGGAAGAGATTAGGAACTAATTATTTTTAAATCACTTAATTTTTTTCAATGGCAACAAAATCTCATAATAAATGAGTGCGACTGTACGACAGAGTGCATTGTACCCGAGTGAGAAAAAAATATTACGTAATCTATGTCTTAAAGTACGTTGTAATAACCCCTGCAATAGTTTTAGCTAATTAATAATAGCTTAATATTAATTTGTACTGTAATTCAGTTGCACCACACCGTTAAATTACTCGGATCAACGTTTTTCTACTGCGATTATTTCTATATTATTGGTCTAAACCACATCGGGTACAACGCGGTACGAAACAATCCCGAAAAACACGACTCGAAACTACAATAGATTTCGTCCGGTCATACAAAATTCTCAACAGTAAAAATTACGCGTTACCGCCTAAATGTCAAAACGCACCGCCATCTTGGAATCTATACGACCGTCGAGATCTGTCAGCACGCGTACAATTCTTCGTTTTTTTTTTTAATTAAATTTGTTAT